AAGTTGTATGTCTTCTTTTTCTAAGATCTTCCTTTTCTATTGGGTGTTTATACTAACAACCCACAGCTCCAACTTCCAGACTCACAAGTATCTTCCCAGCTCAAAAAGTGCTCACCACAGCCTAATGATTAATCTACATATTTAATGCTAATTTTACTGCTGAGTACTTGCTATGCTTAGTTAGCTTGATTTGCCTTTCTCAATATTAAGTAGCTTTGGCTATTAAATAAGTACAATTGCCAGTTATCATGGCTTCCAGTTATGAATTTATTTATGATTTCTTGCTTATTATAGTCCTGACCATTTCCATCCAAATATTGCCATGAACTTTAGCCTGTTTTCCAAAATCACAAATTCTGTAGAGAACAACATGTTCTATTGGAATCACTTGAATTGGTATTACAAATTATTCTTGGAGATATTGTGAGCCAGGTGCAATGTCGCCTTGTTCTTGATTATTGCTCTTGGCTTTGCTATAACTGATGCTCATGTTGTACTAAGCAGAATTGACTTATTTGGGTCTCACCTTGCAGCAAAGCTGATAGAGCTGACTCTCCACGGATTTGACACATGCTGTTTAATATCACCATGATTCCCAGACTACATTTCTTTCATTTACTGTCTCCCACCCCATGTGACTCAGTTACTGGCCCACTATCTCTTCCCTGTCTTTTTCGGTTCTACTGCTTAATATGATCACCGGACAGCAGTCTTGGAAAGTAATTCTGAACAGAATTTTCATTCTGTAAAGGTGCTGGTGTCAAAACCCATTTTAAAAATTCAGGGCTTTGAAGATGAAGGATATGATGGCCCTTGAATTTTCTTTGAAGTGTAAAGAAGCTTTATAATCAAACCCAAAACTTAGTAAGTAAATATTTAAATACTAAAGCTAAATTTCTTATAATAATGATATAGTTACTTAATATTTCTACTGAATGAAAGAAATAAATAGTGCTTATGTTTGCAAAGATATTAAAATAACTGCATCCATAAAAGTAAGTTGCCAAGTGCCCAAATTTACAACCAATTAACTTGACTCCAAGAATTACCAGGAGATTAGAATAACCAGCCATTTTTTTTCATGTGAGGAATTTTATCTCTTCTATTACCACAGGTGGCATTCAGAACTATAGAATCTGGAAACAAATCTGTCAACATTCAAATTATGGTTTCACCATCTAGTAGCTGAGTGATCTTGGACATGTTACTTACTTTTTCTTTGCCTCATTTGAAGGCCAAGGATAATGAAAAATCTCTGCAGATCTTTTATGAGACTACATAAGACAACGCAGCAAGACACTTAGACCATAAAGCAAATTTCGCACTCAATGAGTAACTAAGGCCTCCCCTGGTGGCGCAGGCGGTTGAGCGCCATGGTGTGAAGCTGTTCGCGGCCACTGCAGCACTGGTTCGATCCCGGCTGGCCGGTGAGGGTCCCACATGATGCTGCAGACCTCTCCTGTCGCACCCGCTGCTCCCCTCAGTAGTGTATTTCATCAGTCTGCCTGTTCTGTTCCCAGCTCTGTCTCAGGTGAATCCTCTCACCCTCCCACACATCTGGCCTGTACCACAGTTCTTGTATAAATAAATCTTTTCAATAAGAGTAACTATTGATTGTTGGTCAATTTAAATTATAGGCATCAGACTGAGTGTGTCTCTTATCGTATATGATAAAATTCTACCTCAGTGCTCTAAGTGACATCCAATAAATTAATTTGCTTAAAACATATTCTTACATCATTGCTAGATCAATTAGAAATGGACCACCCTGTGGTGAAGGACAAGAAATTACCCTTACTAATTATGTGTATTTTTAGTCTGTGCAGTTTGCTAAGTGTGCTAATGAGGTGCTTCACTCTAGTGGATGGTGGGAAATAAAATATTTTAGTTGGGCTCATTCTATGCCAACAAAATCAGGCATCTACCAGTAAGGTAAACAAAGAGAGGATGATGAGTATTAACTTTCTACCTCAGAAGGTATTTGAGAGCTCAGATAAAAGGATAACAGCCAAGCAGAAAAATGGACAGATTTGAGAAGCATTTGTCAAAATTTAATATAAACTTCACAAATCTTAATTAGTGCAATTGTATGGTCCTAAGTCAAAAGAAGATAATTCCTACATTTTTCTTAATTCATATTAACATTTCCATCTACATTGAATGATCAATTTGCTAAGAGTTTCCTTTCATTTTGTTCTTGCTTGGATTCTTAAGTAATTTAATCAAATTTAATATGTCTTTGAATATTATGTTTGTTCTGAGCAGGAAGGTAATGTATGAGCATATTCTTAAATTTGATTCTAATACCCTTCAATAGAATAAATACCTCCCTCATAATCACCTTCAATATCAAAGACCAAAATTAAAATATTGGTGAACTAGCACAAAAGAATAAATGTTGACATTTTAAAATATCCACAGCAGGAAACTAAAAACATTTAAGAATTTAGTATAAGCAGATATTTGAGTGATGACAGGGAACTCAAATACCACTATTTAAGTTTCTCATTTGCAGGTTAGGAAACTGAAAAGCTAGCAAGCTGTGGGGCCTGGCCTGGGATGATTCCTGCCTCAGTTCACTTTCCAGGTTACTTGTACCTTACTGTCCCCAAGGAAAAGGATTTTTTATTATTATTATTCAGAAGTGAGTCTCTAAAACAGGGTTCCTTAACCACAGCAATATGGACATTTTAGACCAGATAATTCATTGTTATGGCATGCATTGTGGAAAGATCCAGTCTTTCTGACTCACTAGATGCCAGTAACACTCCCCTTCTGGACACTGTCAAATATCCCCTAGGGACAAATGGGCCCTAGTTAAGAACAACTGCTCTAAAGTCCTTCCCATCCCTAAAATACTATTAACATTAATTAAAAGAGAAAGATTTGGGAAGCTTGACACAATTTCTTGTAAGAATTTTAAATCCTGTTGTACTTTTCCACAATTTTAATACCCTAAATGAGGAAATTCAGCACCAGTGTGCCTTTCTCTAAATCTCCATTTGCTATGACAGCTTTCCTGCTCTGCTCTTAATCTAGTCATTGCTATTCTTTTTTTTTTTAAGATTTATTTATTAATTTATACAAGCACTGGGTACAGTCAGAAGCACAGGAGCATGAGAGAATTCACCAGAGCCAGAGTGGGGAACAGAACAGACAGACTGACAAAATTCACTGCTGAGGGGAGCAGCGGGTGTGGCAGGAGAGGTCTGCGCACCATGCCATGTGGGACCCTCTCCGGTGGCCGGGGATCTTACCGGTGCTGCAGGCCGGGGATCAAATGGGCGCTGCAGAGGCTGCGGGCAGCTTCGCAGACCAGCACTCAACTGCTGCGCCACCAGGAGAGGCCCAGTCATTGCTATTCTTGCCTTGGCTTTGTATTAGAGGAAATTATAGTTCCCAGGCCCCCTTATTTGCTCACTTTGAGATGAGGTCAATCAATGGGAGGTACTGGAGAGAGGTTGGGGTTGGCAGAAGCCAGGGCACTTCTCCCTTTCTCTGATAGTAGCCACAGAGTCACTTGCATGTACCCTACTCCTGCGAGAGAGATCCTACCTCTGCTGTCCCTGAACCTGTCTTGACTGGCCCCAGAACCTAGGCTCTGGTAATGACATTGTCTCTGTCTCTACAGCCCTCAGAGTCAAAGCAAATTTCTGTTGTTGCTACTCTCTGTTGCACCCTGCTCTCCCATTTGGCTTCTTTCTTCTATCACCTATGGAAGCAGTTTCTATGAACTGAATTGTATCCTCCAAAAATTCATTTTTTTGGGCCCTAACCCTCATTGTGCTTGTACATGGAGAGGGGTATTAATTAAGGTTAAATGAGGTATTAAAGGCAAAGCCTGATCTGATAGGATTGGTGTCCTTGTAAAAGCAGACACCAGAAAGCTAGCTCCTCACTCTCTCTCTCCCTCTCTCAATTTACTAAGAGACAATCACATGAATAAGTAATTATAATAACATATAGCAAGTTTATTAATAAACATATTATGAGAAAGCCAAATAGAGCATGACCCACAGCCAGGTCTTAGGATGCGATTTTCAAGGTTTGAATTCCATGTCCACCAATCTCTAATGTTTTGGCTCAGAACAAGCTACCTGACCTCTCTAGACCATCATTTTCTTTAAAAATGAGGAAAATAATAGTATCTATACCTCACAATGCTGTGGCAAGAAGATATAAGGTAATGAAAGTTCAGTTTCTGATATACTTTCTGGGAAATGACTTGTATGCATAGAAGGTTATCTTTATCATCAACAGGGGTGCATGGAAATGGGTTACGTAACATGAAACTCAGGGCTCCCCCTAATTTCCCATTCCTTCTCAGTCACTCTGATCTACTTGATTGACTATCTTTTCTTCCTCTTCCTCAGAAGAGAGATTGAATCTATCACCTTTTCTAGTAGGAGTATAGATTAGTACAACTATTTAAGAAAATTTCTTGATGGGACTCTATTAAATCTAAATATGTGAACACAAAGAAATTCCATTTGTACCTACTGACCCCCAAATGAGGACATTTCATATTACCAGGCATAAAAGAATGTTAATAGTAGCTTTACTCATAATAGTGCCAAATTAGAAGTTAACACAGTACCTATCAAAGCAAGGATAAATATATTGTGATATTTTATACACCGTTGGAATACTATTGATATATAACAAAGAGAACAAACTGCAATTGCAAGCCACAATATAGATGAATCTCACAAACAAAATGTTGAGGAAAATAAACGAAAGTGCATATTTACTGCACCATCTCCAGAAAGTTCAATGATAGCATGAATTTATGGTCATAGAAATCAGAGAGGTAGTTACTGTTAGGAAGGTATTTATTGAGAAGACAAGTAGTGTGCTAGCAAATGTTTAACAAACAACTCTCAAAAAAATAAATTTGAAAGCCCTGATATTATAGCATTTGCCATTTTTCATGGTATAAATGCTCCCACTATGGTGGATTTCAAGCTACCAAGTTTACACCACCAAGCACAGAGTTGACAAGACATGTCTATGTGTAGCCTCCTCTGGCAAGGGGTGTGAGGTAACGCTAGTGTGTAATTGTGAAGTGACAAGTGCTGTTCTGGTGTGCTAGAAATGTTCTGTATCTCCATCTGGCTAATGCTTACAAAGGTATATAGTCATTTAATATCTGATTCTTCTATGTGAACTTCAACAAAGAGCAAAATGTAACAAAGTCCATGAAAACTCAAAGAGAAAAGTAGTTGTAACCACTATGTTTCAGAGTATGATCCAGAGAGGTGACAGAGATGCAAAGACTGAGACACAGCAGTCAAATCTGTCTCCCAAACCGGCAGAAAAGAGAGACACCATTAATAGACATTGACATAAATAGAAAAAAGGACGGCAATTTTTTTAGTTGACCCATTCTCAAGCTTTTCAACTTGAGACTTAATTCAATCTTATTAAAGTTTAGTACACCATGCAGAAGAGAATTTTGCTTCTAAATTCTAAGGCAGATTCACTGCCTTAACTATCAATAACTATGATTCCATCACTTAGAGATAAAGATGATCCCTCTGGGTGACTCCAGAAAAACAATTTAAGTACCATACCACTTAAACACAAAGCTCACACATGAAAAAGAGCCAAGGTAAACAATATGGCTTTTGTTCTGAGTCAAAAATCACATTTGTATTATATTCCTTGTGTCTTAGTTTTTAATATGATTTAAGATATTTGTGGTTTAGGTAAATGAGATATTTTAACAAGACAACTGCACCTGGCATATACAGCACACATTTATATAGAGAGTTAGAAATTTAAAGGAAATAGTTCTGACTGATGATAGTCTGACACATCCACAGATTCATCGTTTTCTGATCTGGCAGACCAGGACCATAGAAAATATCAGACCAAGTACCTAGAAAACAAAACGACAGGATTAACATGTAATCTGAGGGGAAATGCTACAGACATTACAAATGGAAAACACTTTATACACGATGAAAAGCTTCTAGCTACTCATAGTTTTAATCTTATTTTTCTAAGTCATCTCTCTTCTTGGGAAATTAGAGATGCCAGTGGGACAAAAGGACATTGAAAAAGCTCTCTGATGATTTTTGTATTTGAACCAAGGTTTTCAGTTGACCAATATGCCTCTAGCCAGCTTACATGACTCTGCAGACCCTAGAACATACCCTGCCTTCTTGAACAAATACATCCCTCCATAGGGCTACTCTCCTTGGAGCTCTGAGGAAGTCAGGCCTTTGGGGGCTAAATATACCTATTACTTCCATTAAAGGGGGTTATGATCATCTGGTTTAGATCATCTGCATTAAAACCAAGGCGTATAGAATTTCTCTTGCCATAGTTTTAGGCATTGCCAAGAGAAGTGGAAAAAAAAAAACCTGTTTTTTTTTTTTTTTGAAAAAAAAAAACCTCTAAATCTATGGGGAATAACTTAATTCAGGAATTTCCTTTGAAGTGAAAAAGCACAGCTGAAAATCTGGGACACAATTTCCATCTCATTAAATGACTCTCCCAAATATGAGGGACCCCAAAACTTGCCCTAATTGCCTCTGCAGTTGGTGAATTGCATGCTGTGACTTTGATGTAGAAATGACAGAAAGGATCTATGTACATTAGAGATCTAGTTTCCTTCCCATCAGCCCCCACTGAGGGGAAGCAGGAGGAGAGTGAGGTGCCATTTATGCTGAGTCATCTGAAATAAGCCAACTGTAATGTGATTTCCTGCTTATGAATTCTTTCCTGGAATTTTATTTCAAATTAGAACTACTGCCCAATATTTCTTCCTTCTTAAAAGAAGTAGACACCAATTCTCTGCAAATTTTGACTAATATTTAGAATACTCTAAAATTCAGAATTGAAATTTAGTCTTTTTGCTTTGATCCCATATTAAGCCTGGGAGACAAGTCTCAGTAAAGAATAAAGAAAATGAACCAAAAACTAGGATAAGGCAACTCTCATCTTTCATTGTCACATCCTTGAAATAAAAGCCCACAATTCATCAGCAGGCTTGGCAGCTAAGATCACACTTTCTTGCATTTCACTAGATCTGGGAAAAATGCATCACTGTTCATAAAAATAGCAAATGAATTGGAAGAGTTTCATCAGATAGCAAGGATAGCAAGGCTCAGATAAACTTGCTAAGTAATATGCATGAGTTCCCACATTCTGAAGTAGTCTTAAAAATTCTGTAAATTTATCACTTTTCTTTTAACTGCTCTACTCCTGGGATCTCCTATCAGGATTAATTTTGTCCTACAAAGTCATGACTAATTGTGTCAATAATTTTTTTCTTGGTTAAAGTGTGGAGAGAAAGTGCTAATCACTTTAGAAGCTTGTAAGTTGCTGCAGTCAAGTAAGGAGAAATATGATATTTTTTGGTTAGTTAACTCAGCATAATGAGAATTCTAACATTTATAAAGTTTCTTACAAAATTAATGTATTTTTGCATAGATTCCTGGCATCCTATGTGAGAGGAATCCCTCAAGCAGGTTTTCTTTTGTTGTTTTTTGTTTTTGCATAGAAGAACTGGGTGTAGGCCGGAGGTGGGGGGGTGGGTGAGAGGATTCATCAGAGATAGTGGGGGGCAGAACAGGCAGATCTACTGAAATACACTGCTGAGGGGGAACAGCGGGCAAGACAGGAGAGGTCTGCTGTGCCATGTGGGTAGCTCTTTGTCTGGGGCTCAAACTCATGCTCCAGTGGCTGCAGCCAGTCTCATAGGTTGTGTCTTAACCCCTTGCGCCACCAGGGAGGCCCCAGTAGGTAGTCTTAATGGAGATGTGAAAAGAACCATTGGCCTGATCAATCAAAGCCAATAACTTAAAAGACAAATGCCAAAGACTAAATGTTGGAGGATGGTTTTCTCACATGATTTTTTTTATAGAGACAGTTTGAATGTATTTTCTGCAGGGAGGTAAGTGATTGTTTCCTTCTTTAAATTATTTATTAAAAGATTTCTCTTTGGGTGTCTTTGTATTTTCTTGAATTTGGGAAAAACAGAATAAAGATGGGCCTAATTGTTAGGCAAATAGTATTAATGAGTGTAAGGTAGAATAACATAACTTTTGCGTATCTTTATAGATTTAATATCAGAAGACTATTTTCAAAGTTCCTTTTTGAATAGAGATGGAACATAAAGTGATTTTTTTTTCTCTTCAAATCCTAGAGGAAGAGCAGGTTTCAGACTAAGGGTTTGAACAAAAATTTCAAGCAGTTCTTTGAACCACTTCCTATATTTCCATAGTATCTAAAAATCACAACTTAACTGATATAACTCAAAATAGGGTTATATTTGATGTTATTACCATACAAATTCCAAACTTATAAATTACTCAATGGAAGGTTTTTTTTTAAGTATTTTCTTATACATATCATTTTTTTAAAGATTTATTTATTTATGCATACAAGAGCTGGGTACAGGCCAGAGATGCAGGGGTGGAGTGAGAGGATTCACCAGTGACAGAGTGGGGATCAGAACAGGCAGATCTACTGAAACACACTGCTGAGGGAAGCAGCGGGAGAGAGAAGGGAGGTCTGCTGCACCATGTGGGTAGCTCCCTGGTCAGCCTGGGCTCGAATTTGTGCTGCAGAGGCTGCAGATTGCTTCACAGTGCTGTGCTTAACCCCTTGCGCCACTAGGGAGGTCCTACATATATCATTAAAACTACTAATAAAATATATAATATGTAATAAAAAACATGGGGTATGCCAATTGCAATGACTTTAGCTCTTATATGAGAGAAAACATTTCTAGTTGATTAGGTCCTTATTTTCTCTGCCTTTATTTTTGAGATTCTTTTGAAATGCATCGCAGGTTGTAGCCAGTCATAGCCAATCTGAACTTGAGTCTAACATGTTATTTGACACATATATTGACCCTTACACTGAAGACCTTATTTAAAGACTTCTCTCTCAGGCCTCCCTGGTGGCACAAGGGAAGGGGTTAAGCATCGCACTATGAAAAAAATCCACAGCCTCTGCAGCACAAGTTTGATCCCAGGCTGGCCAAGGAGAAACCCACATGGCATGGCAGACCTCTCCTGTCTCACCCACTGCTCCCCTCAGCTGTGTGTTTTGGTAGTCTGCCTGTTCTGTTCCCTGCTCTGTCTCCGGTGGATCCTCTCACCCCTAACCCTGCATCTCTGGCCTGTACCCCAGCTCTTATATGCATAAATAAATAAATCTTTAAGAAAAGGCTTCTCTTTCAAGCATTCATTTAAAGTCTACTTTATTAACATATGTGTGTTATTTATGTTTATAAAAGTGTGAGTTTATATCTCTATGGCCAATAGTTCCTATATCTAAATTAATAGTAACCCAGAATACAATGTGGAAGGACAAAGGACATTTTACAAAAGGGAGAATTGAAACTATAGACAATGCACAGCATCATTTGACTTTGATCACATACAATACATAAAGAAACACACTGATAACAACCAACAGAGAACACTTCTTATTCACACCTATTCATTTTGGCCCTAAGGAAGTTATACGCAACAGTCCGATTTAACAGTAATAGTCCCTACCCTTTAGCTAATGGTTGACTGAGAAATTCCACCAATAACCCAAATGATCACTAAACTGCTTTAATCCCAATTAAAATGTGCTCTGGCAGTGATGTGGCACAAGTAAGAGGCAGAAACTTGCCAGAAAGCTTGAAGAGTATACTGACTAGCCTACCATGGGGGTGAGCAGACTTCACTCACTGTGCTAACTAGCTCTCAGGATTAACCAGAGACTTACACCTCACACATCATTAGGATTCTTGCCAATATCCTGAAATTGAATTGAGATTGAATTTGACTCACTTGATATCCAAATTTGCCAAGATCTGGGATGACTCTAAAGTTGGTTCTCTGAAATAGCTAAATCTTGTCTTTCTGGCAAAAGAATTTTAGATCAGCTAAAATGTACCCTTCAGGTTCTAAAAACAACCAGGTCAAGAACATCCATGAAGATAAAATTCCTGGACCACTCAGCCATCCTGACTTCCTAAGAAAAAATTCTTTTCAAAAAAAGATCTATTTATTTATGCATACAAGAACTGGGATACAGGCCAGAAGTGTAGGTGGTAAGAGGATTCACCAGAGACAGAGTGAGGAACAGAACAGGCAGAGTGACTGAAATACCCTGCTGAGGGGAGCAGCAGGCCAGTCAGGAGAGGTCTGCTGCACCTTGTGGGTAGCTCCCTGGCCGGGGATGGAACTCGTGCTGCAGAGGCTGCGGATAGCTTCGCAGGTTGTGTCTTAACCCCTTGTGCCACCAGGGAGGACCCCCTAAGATAAAATTCTTATACAGGATTTATTCATCCTTAATAATCAAACTGATGAGGTAAATACGTAAGTCTTAAGCAGAGTTTTTTGAAAAACTTCTCCAAGTGACTTCATAGTTCTTTCAGTGAAAGAATCAAAGGCACCTGTCTCTAGTTTTTGGAATTTGTTAGGTTTCTCTAGAATGGAATAACAAATAAAAACAGGTCCCCATATTTTTGAGTTTGGTTTGTGTTGTGTTTCAAAATCAGGAAGAATGATGAGAAATTTTAAAGACTGTGTTTGGAATTTGTTTGGTGTTTTTTCTCCTAACTTCAGAAAACCTCTTGTACTAGTTGTCCCTGGGAAAAGATATCAGAAACTAAGAAGTCTGTGGAAATTGATTTAATTATTTTCCCACAAGAACTAATAAATAAACAGGACAATGAATAGTCAGTACTGCAAGATCGCACCATACCTCAAAAACTGCCAGTCCAAATGCAAGCCAAAGGATAATTTCAACACGGTCACTAACTACTTTCTTTATGAGAGGAGCACATGGCTGTTAAAACAAAATATATATATATATAAATTACCTTTAAAAACTTTTTCACTTCATTTTAATTAATTTATTTTGGTAGTTGAAGACACTCAACATAAAGGATTTAGATGATTCCTTCCATTCAATGCTCTTCCCCCTCCCAAAGGCCATTCATTGTTATCTGTCTGTCCATTAAAAAGCATATGAAGAGCAAAATTTCTCATCATCTCCCTAATTTCTGAATCTAAGGAGTTTGCATTGTAAATAATAATTTTATCTTAACTTTGAATAATTAATTTTAGAACTATTATCATATTTACTGTGTAATTTTTAAGTTTGTAACCTATAGTAGCAAGTTTCCTTGATTGGGGCTTCAGCTAATTATAATTCGTATTTTCACTTTTATTTTTTATTTTTTTATACAAGAGCTGGGGTGCAGGGCAGAGGTGCGGGAGGGTGAGAGGATTCACCAGAGACAGAGTGGGGAGCAGAACAGGCAGAGCGATGGAAACACACTGCTGAGGGGAGCAGAGGGCGAGACAGGGAATGTCTGCTGCGCCATGTGGGTAGCTCCCTGGACAGCCGAGAATCAAACCCACGCTGCAGAGGCTGTGGACAGCTTCACGGCACTGCGCTCAACCCGCTGCGCCACCGGGGAGGCCCCATATTTCCACTTTTAAAACAAGGTTTTTCAAAAATCCCTTAATGTGTCAGGATTATGTTTACTTTTCAAAGAAACAGACCATTTTGTCAACTATTATGCCTTTATTTTCAATTAAAAAGAAAATTTATAAAGTCCCCTGACAGCCACATATTTTTGAAATTTATTCAAACCAGAATGCAATTCCAATGTTAAATAAAATATTTCAGGCCATACCTAACTATTCCAACAACCGCAATTTTTAAATGTAAAAATATTACACAATGTAATATTGTCTTTTATATAACCAGAAAATATATCATTCCTATGATAGTCTTACATGTGAACTGACTAACAAAATACTGCTATTTATTAAGTAAAGTAAAGCTTCTCCACAATACTGAGTAAGACACTCTCATCCCATCATTCTTGAATGGGTCTCTCCCTTCTGATCTTACTCAAAGTAGTAGCCATTTGAGGAAATTATTATCATCATTTAGGGTTAATTATGAGATTAATGATCACATTGACCGAGTCACATTCATTATACTTAAAGAGTTTGTGATAACCAGGTTATCTTGGCAAAAGGGAGAGAAAAAAGAAATGCAAGTTATGGCCAATTCAGTTTCTTATTTTTCCAGGCTTTTTGCAAATGACACCAGGAGGTGGAAGTATTTTATGAATTTATGAACTTCTTTTTGGGGAGCTGCTATAGCTACCAGCCTATATTCAGCTGAAATAAGTGAAAATTTGGAGTGTCCATTATTTTTTAGAATAATGACAGGGCTTTTCAAAGTTCTATCCTGAGGAAAATCGTCCCTGATGATTTGTTGAATCTTAAAAGGGGACAAACACCAATCTTCAGTGGAATTTACTAATTTCTTCATTTTCCTAAGCAGAATCTATGTTCATTTGCATTATATTTATATTCCCATCTTCCTTAGAGATATTGTGTCACTAAAATTAGGTAGGGGAGAATAAAAAAATTAAGAATAAAACTTTTTTAGTGATTATTACTTTGACAATGAATGGTAGCTCTGTAAACTGGTTAATGATTTCTCCTCCATTAATTACCAGTAACAGCAATTCCCAATTTCCCTTCAAAACAATATGGTTAATTTTTATAAGATTAGTAAAAGGGATATTATAGCCAGCAAGAGAGGTTTCTTCTAATTTAGTTCCATTTCCTAATATGTAATTCACACCAGTAACCATCTCTGAACCAGTGCTAGATTGAAAATAATTTAAAATTACTACAGAAATTAATCTATTAAATTATAATGGCTTCGTTGCATCTCTCTCCCAACTGGACTACAATCTCCAAAAAATTCCAGAAGCATATCTGCTTCTAGCAAGGGTCTGTCTGGCACAAAGTAGTCACTGAAGAATAATAACAAGTAAGTGCTTTAACATCAATGGTTACTTTTGTACATATCCTTTCCACTCAGAAGGCACAAATTATGTCAAGCCCTGTGGTAAGAGACATATCTCATTGTTCTCTAGGAATCCAAGTGCTAAACCCTGAAGACTGAATTAGATGGAGCCCCATAACACCTTTTGCCTGCCCCTAACCAAGAAATACCGTTAATTGTTTGGATTGTGTTTGTCCAGTTATCTTTCTTCCTTATTTGATCATTAGCTTCATGAATGCAGATACCACGCCCTGTTCAAGAATGGATCTCCAGGGGCTGTAGATCTTGCACACAGGAGATAGTCAATAAATATTTGATGAGGGCCTCCCTGGTGGCGCGCAAGGGAATACGAAGTAACCTATGAAGCTGTCTGCAACCTCTGAAGTTGTCCGCAGCCTCTGCAGTATGAGTTCGATCCCTGGCTGGCCAGGGAGCAACCCACATGGCACAGCAGACCTCTCGTGACTCGCCCACTGCTCCCCTCAGCAGTGTATTTCAGCTGGTCTGCCTGTTCTGCTCCCCACTCTGTCTCTGGTGAATCCTCTCACCCCCCCACACCTCTGGCCTGTACCCCAGTTCTTGTATACATTAATAAATAAATCTTTAAAAATAAATATATATATATGATGAATTAAGCAGTAATAAAAAATATGATATACCTATGTTGACATCCACATGTGAAATAAATATATCTACAATACATAAAAGATAAACTCAACTTTCAAAATTGACTTTAAGTGAGGCAACTTCTCAATTGGAGCAATAACTAGGTAAATGGTAGATACTACTTACTTAATACCTAGAATCAAAACCCCTAAAAGCCTGAAAGTTACCAAAAAGAGGACAAAATAAACTTTTATCTGCCTATTTCTACTTTGCCTCCCCCTGAAATAGACTATTTCTTTGACCTATTAATATTCGGTTCTATTAAATTTCAGACTCAGAAGAAATGAAATACTTTCAATTTTTTATATCTGCTTTTATCTTCAAATAAGTATTTCTCAAAGGGAGAAGGGATTTCTGTGGCTTTTATATCATAATTCCCATTGTAATTAGTACAAATTAATTTTTGTAGAAACTTTCATTGTGAAGAAAGAAATTAACAGAACCACTTTTTGTGTCAAATTTGATTTAGTAATTACCTGTTTGAAAACAAGCTTTCCTTGATAAGATGTACAAAGAATTGGTGCTCCTGTGCATGTACATGTCATGAAATAATTTTGAAAATTGTCTCCCCAATCAGAAGGTCCACTGATCAAACCACAACATTTAAACTGTTTGATGAAAAGTAGATACAAAAAAGCAGTCACTATAGAAGACATAACATGGTGAACACAAGGAATCATATTCTCCCAAAACATTATTAAATGTTACTTACCCTAAAAATGTTATGAATGTCACTTCACCCTCCTCGCTGAATGTTGGAACAAAAATGAAGGAATATTTCAGTTGGGGTTTAATAGGAATGAAATAAGGTGGCAGAAGCAAGCATTGAGAAAAGATGAAAGAATTGCCTTTTATTTTTTAATCACAAAAGAGAAGGGCCGAATCAGATCTGCATATTCTAGATTTTAGGAAAGACATTTTCAATGAGTTCACAAAAGACACAAGGTCTCTTTTAAAAACTGATCTTTGATCAGTTTTGGAGAAGAGAAGAAAAAAGACTAAGAGTCAAGCACAAGGCCAGAAAGGATGCTTAGGGGACCTGTACAATAGGAAAGGAAAAAACTTGTAGAATTATTACAGAAAGGTTAAGGTTCAGAATAAACTAAAATACGGGGAAACAAAAGGGACCAAGGAATGTGTTTGGGGAAGAAAAGCAAGGAAATAACTGAGTCCTATGATTCAGAATGTATGTCACATAATATCATCAGATAATAGAGAGAACTAATTATCCCTCTTCTATCTGCTCTACTAAGGAAAAAAACTCTTCAAAGAGAAAAGTAGAAAAAAAAATTGCTGAAGAGACTCCATCCAAAGCTGAGTGATTTTCCAGGCTCAAATACACTGCAATGCCAGGATACTGAAAGAACTTTTATTTACTGGCTGGGTAACCATGTTACCCATTAACTAAACCTCTCTGTGCCAGTTTCCTTAACTGTGAAATAAAGATAATAATAGTTCATAATTATAGCATCAAATTCATAGATTTGTTGTAACAATGAAAATAAGAGAACCCATGTGAAAATAGGAAATACTTAGCCCAGACACTGGCTTAGCCCAGCAGTATCAGCTGTTATTATCTGGTTTGGTTTTGTTGTTGTCATTGTTTCCACGATCTTCTCACATGAAGATGACTGGTTTAACGTTATCATTAATGATTTGTTTTATTTTGCATTTTTGTTATCACTTTTTGGTTTATTCGTTTACTTTTAATTGAGGTGACATTGGAACACCTCCCACGGGGTATTACACCAGTAGTAGTGCATCCACCACATAATCACCCATCACCCACCACTATAGTCCATTGCATATCCTTCCCTCTTTGTTCTTACCCCTCTATTATTAATGATTTAGATAAAGATAAGAACAATATCTTTTCAACTTTGTAGTTGATACAGAAATGGGAGTAATGACTAACACCTTGGAAAACATAACTGGGTTTCAAAGATAGTTCAAGCAATGGGTTTAAACTAGCAAGATCAACTGAGGCAGATATAAAGTCTTGTACTTTGGTTTAAAGACTTAATTGCAGAAATATATGCCTGACCAGAAATTCATATGACAAAGAGCTAGAGATGTCATTTGGTCCCAAGTCAATATTAGTAAATAGGGCAATCTTGAAACAATCTCCTGTCTTTCCAGGGAAACATACTATGTGCTCACTCCTGATCAAATACTCTTTTTTTTTTTAATAATAAATTTTATTGTTATATTCCCCATACAATTGCAGCCCCCCCATTCTGACCCCAATCCCTCCCCTCCCGCCCCCACCCCCCAAAAAAGTGTCTCTGGTTCATAGTTTTTTGTTGATTTTGATTCAAATACTCTTGAATGTTATTCATTGGTATGAACACTCCAGCTTAAAAAAAAAGGAAGTCCCAATATATGGACTCAAAGATCAATCTATAGTTGAAACAGAGTATAACTCAGGATTCCATAGAAATTATTTATTTAAAGGGTAGGATTTGAGAGGTTAAACTTGACATGATATCGGGTCACCAGATCAGATGTGAGAGCAATTGGGGACGAAGCTGATGTGGACTTCCAAGAAAGCATTATAATAGCTGTGTGAACAAAGCACTGTACAGTAAATGATACAACAATCTCTAGACGAATGATGATTATGGGGCATCCAACAGGGGCACATTCCATCAGTGTGTTAGCAGAGAATATGTATAGTAATTCCCTGAAATTCAAAGAGAAGGTCACTTAGCATCTATATCTTCTGCCTGTGCATGGTGAGGTCCCGGGTCACACAACCAGAGTTTGGGGTAGGAATTGTTTTTCCCAAAGAAGCATCACTGGAAAAAGAAGCTCTGATGGATAAGAAAAAGAAAAGAAAAACACCTAAGAATGGATAATAAAAAGAGCCAAGGCACTTTAGGCAGAGGATTTGTGTACAAGAATGGAAGCAATCCAGAAATTATTCTACAACAAACAGAACATTAGAAACCCATGGCTGGCACTAAGATCTTGGACACTGGATGGTGTTCAGCAAATGTGACTCATGATCCAACTCAGAGACCCAATAGGTATTGACCTTATTCAACTCTGAGGAATAACATTGATGCTCAGCCCCACCCAGCAGAGGAACTGCCTAAAGTGCCTCCTCGCTTTAAACCTGGATCAAGCTGGAGTCTAAAGTGGGAATGATCCTGGAGGAGAAAGGATCAAGGAATGCAGTTATAGGCTAGCTAGGAAAATCATAACAGAGGACCTAGTTAATAAAGAACTGACACATATCAGGTGTCAGCTCTTGGATATGATGTTTTATTTTATTTTTACTTTTTAAAATCAAATTTTATTGATTTGCCATTTGTTTGCATGACCATGTAATTTGGGAAGTACAACTTCACACCTCAACATGTATACATGCTTCCCTCACCCTCCCCCAAAACCCCAGTGCCAATACACACCACGCGTCCCCCAACTCCCACCTTCCCCTGGTAACCACTATTGGATATGATGTTTTAAATGAAATATTTATAATCCCTATTCAAGTAAGTACAAGGAAATGCTCTAGGAAAGAAAATCTGGTAAATAGCTCAAGAATCTACGTATCAAATACCAATGGTTCCGCTTATATGTGGAATAGAGAGAAACCAAACTAAGGGTCAGATAATGACAAACTTTTTAAAACAAACTCTTGAACGCTCACCATGTATCTGAGGCATCTGGAAGGGGAGGCACAATGGTGGTAGAGAGCACAATGGATTATGGAGAGCACAATGGATTGCACAATGGATTGCACAATGGATTGCACAATGGTGGAGAGCACAATGGATTATGGTGGAGAAATAGTCATGCTTTGGTGACAGAAATATGGTGACCACATCAGGGGAGAAATCCTGTACTGTCAAAAAATTAACAAGGATGAAAAATAATGGTAATTTATTTGAAAAAAATAAATCTTTAAAAAAAGAAGCCACTGTATCTGTGTTAGCAAAGCTTTTAGCAGTCACATGATAGGCATTTTCAAAAAAAATATGCAACATATAAAATCATTAGTAATTTTTCTTTTTCCTCTGAAACTCCAGAAGGAAAAACTAAAACTAAATGATATCAGTTATAGGCAAGCTGATTTGATTTCAAATTAAGAAAGAACATATTAATTACCAAACTTGGATATAAATGGATAGGATGGGCAAAAATTGGTAAACTTTCAGCTCTTCAATATTTGATTACAGGGTAGATGAGCATAAAATAAGATATTTCAATGACAATCAGGTTAAATGTCCTATAAAATCCAGTTCTCGTCTAAGAATCCCTATGACAAATGTGAAGTGGATGCTACATATAGTTAATATGATGTGAATTTTGGATAAAGAAGGCATGATTAGGAAGAGTTTCACAGAGCAATATTTCAGTCGAGTCCTAAAGTACGTGAAGTATTTGGAAAGAAAAAGAAAAGTAGTAAGTTTATTCCAAGGATGGGGAATGACACAAAGCAAGGTAAGCAGAATATACAAGGGATCCTGAGTAGACAAACAAGGTTGGACTGGCATGTAAAGATTAGGCAGGAAGCAGATATTAGCACACCTTCAACAATGTGAGTCCAAGTTTTGACATTACCTTAAAGACAATAAAAGAGTTAAACCAATTTTAAAAAAATAGGGTCTATTGTAATGATTATAAAGAAGTGACAAATGAGATCTGGGTTCAAATTCCAACCCCATCAAATTGTTAGCTGTTAGACCTCTCTACAAATGATGAAGACTGATATTTATTATCTATCATACAAAGTTAAGAATTGAGTTGGGAAATAAATGGGCTACTGAATATAAAGCCTGGTCCACAGTAAGTAGAAATAAATTATAGACACAGCTACTTTTAGGGATCAAGGGCTAGGATGTGGGTAGACAGAGAGAGAGAGAGAGAGAGAGAGAGAGAAAGAGGGGGGGGCAGAGAGGGAGGGAGGGAAGGAGGGAGAGAAAGAATCCCAATAGCACAAACACATTATTTGTCAAAATGGTAAATGATGCTAAATATTAAAACAATTATTGATATGGCCCAATCAAAGCTTAACCTAGCCTAAAAATAACTTCTTAATCTCTGTCTTCCAAACTGCTTTAGAACTTGGAAAGAAGTTGGAAAAACAATAGAAATATTCTTGCATTTTTATTCTTGTATGATGACAAAATAATTAGTCAAAATCTGCAAAATGGAGACTTTTTCAATAACTAAGAAACACGCTGTTAAAAATTAGGAAAACACAGAACTATGTTCAACTCCTTCAAAAGATCTACAAATTCTAATTACCTTTTCTTGAAACATAGCTACGGCTGTCTGGAATGTTTTCCCAGCATCATCTGTTGCAGTCAAAAGCACTACATTTTCATAGAGAATCTCATTCAGAATGTGCTCTGTCTGAAAATGGAAAATATTATTAAATTATTCATACCATAAAGTCATGTTCTAATTTCTTAGACTGTTCCAAAATTATCAAACATATGTATACATACCTTAGATCTGAAATTAACTGTTAAGAAACCTGCTGACAACTGCATCATCATGATCAGAAACAAGCCTACAAAATACTGGGGAAGAAAAGAAAAAGAATATATATATATAAAAACATTATATATATAAATACATATATATCATATATAAGTCACATTACATAGTATATATATTATCCCTGTACATTGAGTAAATAACATCTTGGGACATTTTGGCCTGGCACTTCTTTCTGCAGCTGGGATCAAATCACAGTTGGAGTATTAATCACAATCTTCATATACTCCATTCTTTGCCTCAAGGCTCAATAGCAAATTGGGGGACCATCACTTCTCAGAAACATTGACAATAATTGACAAAATATCATTGATCAGACTACTGGCATCGTCCTGATGCTGAATGGAAGAAAGTTTGAAAACATCAAACACAAATTCAGGACTGACTTCAAAAAATGCTTCGACCACTAGACTCAACTGGGATCTTGTTATAAATGCCTGTTTCTGAAGCCTGCCTCAGAGCTATCTAATTAGAATTTTAAAAATGCAGCTCACAAATTAAGTCTTTTGACATGCTCTTTGAGTAATTCAATTCCCTAAATTGCAAATGAGACCTTATTAATTAAAAAGCAACCATTAGGAATGCTGTGAGAATTCCACTCAAACTCCTGTCTCTATCTTTTCTCATAAACAAATAGCTACAAAAAAAAAAAATCTTTTCAGGGACTCATCCGATACTTCTTTTATTAGAGAAACAAGTTTAGATGATGTCTGATAAACTCTTATGTCAGATTTATAGCTAATAAATACTTGATGCTTTTTTCCTAATATTTTTATTTACTAATTTTTACTACGTATGATGTTAAAAATGAATGTCTATGGGTTAACCCAACCAATCCATCCTCCTTGAAGCTTTCTAAGCAATGAAACTGATTATTGCACTCTTACAATTTTCTTAGACTATAATATGATTTGACCACGCTTCACACTCAGATTTATTTCCCTTCACTTACCAAAAATCATCTATTATTCTCTCTAGTCATTCCTAAGAGCTTGCAGTTCCCCAAACATGGCCGCATTGTACTGCCAGTCTCTCCCTGGAAATCTCATCACATCCTCAACCAGGCAAGGACCTTACTTCTACTCCTCACTTGAAAGATCCCTCCTCTATCTTTGTCTTCTTCCTGGGACACATCCATGGTAGCTAATTGTTTACTTCTTAATCTTCCCGAATGGGTTCTAGTCTTAAGGTCTGTGTATCATTTAACACAGTACCTGGCATATAGCAGGTACTTAGCATAATAACTGAGTGAGTGAGTGAACGAATGACTAAAATTTCTCTTCTCTTAGGATACTCTCTAACTTAAACTAAACATACTAACTTAACTGAGCTCTCCAAACATAAGTTAGAGCATCATGAATCTTGGCAAGCACTTTAGACAGAAAAAGGGTACAGGAGCAATTCTCTGCACTCTGAGCTTTAGCCAACACATTGTGTTGTGTCTGGAGAACTCACCACAAAAAGCACAAAGCGGTTTTCTGCGACTGTACCACAGCACCCCAGGAACCCCAGTATCGTGATGACAGCACCCACCACAATCAACATATTCATAGCAACATGGGGATTAATGTCATAAATCCCTTCACCTAAAATCTGAAAATAAAAAGATAAATGACATTTGATGAATAATATTTTTTGTTTGTCATTCAACAAATATCCATTGGGTACATACTATCTGCCGGTCCCCATTCTAGAACCCTGAGCTAATTCAGTGACCTAAACCAGCACAAATCTCTTCCTTCAGAGCTTACAATCTATTCAGATGTTACTTCTCTGAATAATGTTCCCAACTTCATAATTTTCTAAGATGATACATCAGATGTTGGATAGAAGGGGCTTGGTAGGCTTTTAAAACATGTTATTTTTAAAAAACTTAACAAATACAAGTACTTTCACTTATGAGGCAAGCTTTAGTTTGCATATTTTGTCTTTTATATATAAGTGTGGCATTCTAAAGTGTGTTTTTATGATTATTTAATTATTTATACTAAAATTCGAAGCTTCTCAAACTGGTAATAAGCCCAATATGAATGAATCTCAAAAACACTATATAGAATTAAATAAGCCCTATTCAAAAGAGTGATTACTATATGATTCCATTTATGTGACATTCAAAAATAGACAAATCCAAACTATGAGGCAGATTTCAGAGTACTGCCTGACTTTGAGCTGGATAATATGGAAAGGAAGAATTTACTGCAAGGGGATATAATTAAATTTATGGCTTTGCTTATGGACTGTAATAGTGATTATATAGATTTATACATTTTTCCAAAGCAAACAAAATAAGCAAAAAACTAGTTCTTGCTAATTCTTATCAATACTATCTCCTTGTTCCCATAAGTTATAATCCAGAGTCTTCCTGAAATTCTTTATTTTTACCTAATAGGATTATAAGGAAAGAATCCTAAGATCTCTTATGCATAATTCAGTTCTTTGCCCCCCTACACACATACTCTTCTCTTCATCACCTTCATGACACCCAGACTCAATCCATCACTTGTTCTCTCTGTATGTGTGAAAGGAAGTCACAGTGATACAAGAAAGCCTTGCACCCATGGTGCACCCATGGTGCACCCATGGTACACACCCAAATTTCTCCTATGAACTCTACCTACTGAGCTATTTCTAGATATATTATAGAGCAACTCTAAAGGGAAATGCGTGTAAGTCCTCGCCTACGCACTTAAAAAAATTACTCAGAACAAGACCCAAAGGCAGGCATACATAGAAAGGTTAATAAAAGGTTTATTTATAAGGGAAATAAAAAGAGGTGGAACAGAAAGAGAAAGAGAGACAGAGAGAGACTAATTGGTCAATATGTCCTACCAGTAACATTTTCTGAGTTGGGACCCCAGGTGCATTATGAAGACAGAAAAACCCAAGCCCTCTTTAGGCCCACATGTGTTGCCTTTTATATCAAGTATGGCTGCTTAACTCCATCCTTATTTCCCAGCAATCCCCCCTTCAAGTAGTCAAGAATCTTGCCATGATGGGAGTTGTAATCCTGATGCCCGGGATTTCTTTCACGTGGAAATGTGGGGTGGATTCAGTAAAACATCAGTGGGTGGCATTATTCAGAACATAATGTTCCTCTGACAGATACAGCGCTGGTTCTTAGTCTAACTCAGAATATCTGTCACTTAAGATCTGCTGCAAAGCATATAGGTATGTTCCCTTCACTGCCCACAAAAAATTTTACTATTTATATCTTTTTTTGAGGACTTTTAAAATCAATTCATAGCCCAGAAGAAATCTCTGTTTGACAATCAGTAGGAAGGAAGGTGCTGATGCTGTAAAAGCCTTAAGACAAAGAATTATTTTCCAGTCGGGATATACAAATATATTCTTCTAGCTCAGGAAAAGTCAACTAACCTCAGTTGCCCACATATGAAGGGAGTTGATCCAGCCTCTGGAATATCCAAGTTTCCTTGGTCTCAAAGTCTATCTTGCAGATAATGTTTCAATTTACGTATTTAGAAAGCATGTTTATATACTAAGGATTTTCTACTTGCTTTTCTGGGTTTTTTTTTTGTTTATTTCTTTTATAAGATTGTAGCTAAGAATTAAGTTTTGTTAATAAACAGGCATGGCATCTGGGTCAAAATAGCTAATGACAAAAAGTAGCATTAGAAAACCAGCTTTCCCCACTCAACCTCAAATACTTCTTCACTGGACTGTTGTGGTCAGTGCAGACAGCCACTAAGATGTCTGGGAGGACAGAAGCCTCACTGGCCGAGATATTAGGACTCGAGTTAAATATCCCAGACCTAGGTCACATATGCGCAACAAGGTCTGGCAACTAGGTCTGGCTAGCCCACATTTTTTTAGTACATAATGAAGCACTTTCATCAGACTGATGTGGACAGGGTGACCTACCACCAGAGATTGTGTTGACTGCCTGGGGGTCATTGTTCCAAGTTCAGCCCCACAAATGGCTCTTTCTTACCCAAAGAGAAGTGAAATTCTGAATTCAGGTGTTTACTCTGGGAAAGGGGTAGCAGTTTGAAAAGCTGTCTCGTATAAACAGTGTCTGTGTGTGTCTTAGGACAAGGGGAAATTTTCTAAAGGAAGTGGAATGGCTGAGCTTGGAAGAAGAGGGCTCAGCGTCCCTTTTCGGATTATAAAGGCTCTTCTGGGCTAAAGTGGCTGCCTGTCTGTTTTGGCTCAAGGTGCTGAGCTTAACCTGAGGGAGAACAAAGTATTCCTAGGAGACACTTTCAACAGAGACGGAAGATATGCACCAAGACCTCCTTGACATTCTTCTTTGTTTATGCTCATGTTTCCCCTTCTAAAACAACTACCACTGTTTTTCCATTAGTAAAATTCAGCTCTTTGCCCAATCTTAATTCTTTGTTATTGACTTCAGATAAATACAAATCAATTCAATTTCACATAAATCAGGCTGTTAGTGATGTCCCAGCAGATACTGACTTTTGTCCAGGGTTAGAGGCTGACAGTACCAGAGACAAGTATAGCCAAAGATGCTGTCTAGTTCTGTTACTTCATTCTCATCCCAGACATGGAGTAACACCCTCTAAAGGACAAATATTCTCTTTTAATATATTCAATGTGTGTAAATTCTTAACAGACTAAACAAATTTGTTTACCAAAAGCACTGAGGGGAAAGAAACCGTTCCCATCTCAACCAGAAATAAAACAAAATAAAATAATGTAAAACACAGACTGCATACACATCTTTAAAAAGTCAGCACACCCTCTAAATGGGGGACCGTCAATCTCTGTGCTTCATTATGAGCCTGTAATTCAGACAATGGTCTCTAAGTGACTGAGATGATGCCAAACATCAGATACCCTTCTTGGCTTCAAATTCCAGAGTTCAAGGCCATCAGGAAGTCAGAGGCACATTTATCAGTAGAGATAATCAGTGAAGTCCTCAGAGACTAAGTGTCACCAACTAGTTGCTACACCTGTCCTGCTCCCAATTTCTTCACCACCATGAGGCACAGAAAAGCCACTCTATTTAGAAAAGAATGAGAATTGATGGAAACTTGCTTGTAACCTCTCTTTCAACCAAGGTATCTCCACAGGCACTCAATTGCACCATGGTGAAATGAATATTTATAGAAATGTATTACTTTAATTGCTAGCTTAATATCTTAACAGTTGTCTAATTAAAATTCCTCTAGGAATGAAAATTCGTGTTAGAGAAATTTTATTTGGGCGAATATTTGGAAGGGCTCTGACAGTAGATGTGATCCTTAAGAGTGGCAGGAGCCCAGATAACTGCCCTGCATGAGACCAGAAGGATAATTTGGGTAAGGGCGGGGGTTGTCTCTGAGAAAAGGAAGGGAGAGAAAAGACTGGAAGTGGAAATGATAGCAGGGTGGCATTGGGTTGGGTTAAGTTGACAGAGCAACCCCTCCTTTGCGCTTTTGACCCCACCCTCTTCTTCCCACATTTGTGATACTGTGTTATGGGACAGAAACAGCAGAGGTGGAATCCAGGGCCAGAGCCAGAATTAACTGTATGAACTAAACTTTTCTTTAGAACTGTGGAACGCGCTGCACAAAACATGGAATGGGGTGTGCTGAAGAAAGGGCATCAGGCTAAGCTGACATAGACAGCAAACAGCTTCATTTCACAGCCAACTGCTGAGCACATGAGTGTGAGGGGCCTCTTCTAGCTGTAAGGGGGTCTCCTCAATGCCAGCTGCCACAGGCAATCTCCAACTATGCTTATAATGTATGGTCTTCAAAATCCAGGTTAAATAATTGCTTTCCATCCAGGGCATCAATACTCTTGTCTCATGTAACATTTTAAAAAAATAATGTAACTTTGTTGAGATAATCTTCACATACAATGAAATTCTGTCTTTTAAAGAGTATTGTCAGTGCAACCATTGCCACTGTAATTTCAGATCATTTTCATCACCCTAAAGGGAAACCTGTACCCATCAGTATCAATCCTGATCCCCAACCTCTCAAACCCCACCCCCCCAAGTCCCTGACAACTACAAATCTACTTACTGTTTTTAAGGATTTCTCTATTCTGGACATTTCATATAAATGGAATCTTACAAATGAATATGTGACCTTTGTGACTGTAGTCTTTCACTAAGCATAATATTTTCAGTGTTCACCCCTGTTGTAGCATGTGCCAGGACCTCCTTCCTTTTTATGTTGCTGAACAATATTCCATTGCGTGAACATATCACAATTTTTTAATCCAGTCCTCAATTGGTAGATATTTGGGTTCTTTCCAGTTTTTGACTATTATGAATAATGCTGTGAACATGTGTGTACACATTTTTATGTGGCCATATCTTTTGATGCATGTATTGTAATTTTGAAATTTTAGTATAAAAGGGAAGGGAAGAAGATATAAGAACAGAAAGGAGGGAAGAAGGGATAAGAAAAGAAAGGAGCTAGGTCACTGGCACAGGAGTATTGGTAGAGGGTAAGTGAAGTAAGAGCATATATGGAGATGCAGAAATGTACCCCCAGAGTTATTTAGATATATAGACAATTGAAAAATTAAAATACATTTAAAATATCAGATTCGAATTTTTAAATTTTAAATTTAAGTTTTAAATTTTAGACTACCACAACCTTGGGATCAGTCACTTTATAAATTCTTCTTGGTCCAGAAGAAAGGTCTCTATATTCTCAAGCTATAGTCAGGCTGTCCTTAAGCAAACAACAAAGGATGTTAATCGCCACTTTTGTCCCTTCCTACCTCCATTTTCACTGCAATCTTCCTATTTTTTTTCCATTCTTTGGAAGGATTGCTGCATGCCTAACACAGTGCTAGACACAGCATTCTTGATAATTGAATTCAGTGGAGTTGCATTATCAAACCACATATCAGCACAAATAATTACATGAGGCAGTTAAGGAAAATGTTAATAGAAATATTTATTACATTGTCATTGTTATTACATTTATCACCAAAGATAAACTACTTTGGGGTGGGGTGAAGAAACATATTTATTTATTTACCTCACTAGTGCCTTTGGAGCTTTGTAGCCAAATTGTTACTGACAGGAGCAAAATACCACATTGCTGCAGGCAAAGAACATGTTAGAGGACAATTAAGATAAACTATAACTCTAATTCCACACTCCCAGCCATCCAGTTACTGTGGTTTATCATTAATTGTACTATTACAACCTAGAAGAGGTAAGTGAAGAATAGTCATATGCAGATAATTGCTACAAAGTTCATAATTGTAAGTTTGATTGACAACACCTCTGTTTCCTACCCATAGTCCATTCATAGATTTGGGACAAGAAGTCACCACCACAGAGGAGGGAAAAGATGATTTTCTGTATTTTAGCTCTATGTTTTTTAACACAAGAGAGATAAGTAACAGTAGTTTAAAGACAAAATATCTTTATTAATCCCTTGGGTATGTCTCTGCAAAGCTATCTTAGACCAAATAGGAAGGAAATAGCTGACTTATCACCAGATATTTCTTCAAGATTTAAGAAGCAACACATGGGATATACAGAGAAAAGTAGAATAGAAAGAGTTGTAGTTAAGCAACATGTTTTGTACCCAAATAAGTTCTTTTAAAGTAAGTTCTTTTAGGTAGTAAAGTTTAACCCGAAAGGAGCAACAATGAAGAACAGTGCTTAAAGGCTTACATTGCTTTAATGACTTTACCAGATTATTTAATTTGGACCAAGGCCAACACATAAAATGTGAAACACATTTTACTCTAATGTAAGGAAAACCCTTGTCTTTCAGGAATTTGCCTTTTTTAAAAGATATATGTTGTGACCTTAAAAACAAAAATCAAGTATCTATTATTAGATAAAGAAGTTGAGAACAGGACTGGTAACATACCAGACACAGCAGGCCTTGGAGGACTTTCTAGACTATTCTGGCCTTATGGATGCTTTCATAGAAAAATGCGTGAGTCCCCCAAAACATACATATTGATTCCAGCATGGTTAAGCCATAAGCCTGAAATCCCAAACCAGCAATTTTAACAACTTTTTAAAAATCTTTGTTATTGTTATTATTGTTGTTGTTGTTGTTAAGGTATCAGTGGTTTGCAACACTGTATTTGATCTAGAGGTATAGGATAATCACCACAACCCACCAACAACCAGGGTGCCCACGGTACCTCACCATATTCCATTGCGCATTCTCCACACCCTGCTTTCTGCTCCCATCCCCACTAGCTTTAATTCTAAAAGTCTGGGGATTTTTAAAACACTCATTTTAAACAACTTCACAGTTATTAAAGTAGAAAGTACTTTAACTGTGACAGTAAAGATCTTCTCTGTTACAGCACAGAGAATGTTGTTCAGAGCTGGATAACCATTAAGTCTGAGTTCCCTGGAAGATGTCAAAAATCATCTTAGGTTCAAATCCTTTGTTTTAGACTAAAAAAAAACTAGCATGCTGAGAGCATAATCACATCATGAAAATCCAGCACCACACACAATCTAGTTTTGCCATTACTATACATATCAACTTCTAGAAAATAAGAAATGTAACTGAAAATCAAAATTCTTCATCAAATCACCAATAACCTATACAACGGAATTCTTATTAGCATGTACACTCACATACAACTATAAAATACACACCTTTGGAAAAAAAGAAAAACAGTTTTGGAGCCTGAAAACTCTCTTTATTTCTTCTGCCTTTTTCTACAAATTTCATTTGCAGATGGAATTAACTACCTGTTTTAGTAGTTCTTTCTTAGTAAGTTTGTAAAAATTTGTCATGTGATAATGAGACCCTATGGAATTTTCACCTTTTATAGCATTTAAATGTCAATGTAATATTTCACAATTTTCTAAGAGTTGGATTTTTTGTTTATTGGATTTCAACCTAGTTATTTTGTCTCTCCTGTTTACAAATAGATTTACATTGATTGTCTTAATAATCACTTTGACTTTTACCTTTAACTGAGAAAGTATAAAACATCCAAATAGCTATTATTATTATCTGATATTTATTTATGAATCCATCAATGAGAAAACTGTACGAATCTTAGAGACTAAGGGTATGATAGCTTTTAAATCCTTCTTGTTTCTGTGTGACTTTTTAGTTTAATCTTTCAATGTATTTAGACTTCAAACCATTCAGTAATCTCATGAAATCCACCACATTTGCCCCTCAAATCATAATTTTTGTCTTCTCAATCCTTGAAAATTACTTGTAACATTGATAATTTTTAAAAGGAGTAGCTAGAAGGGACTATTCTCAGTGACATAAGTCAAAAGGAAAAAGAAAAATATCAGACGGTTTCACTTATAGAAGGACTATAGGGGAACAAAAAAAACATGACAGAACTAAACAAAAATAATCAGATAACTATAAATCAGAGACACTCTGTAGGGAAGGGGGAGGGAGAGGGATCAAAACGAGGGTGGGAGGAGCACAAGGGACTAAGGTGATGGTGCACAGGTGGACTGATGGTGAAAATTTTATGGGGACCATACCTGATGTAAAATATATACAAATAAATAAATTACATTAAAAGTATATTTCTTTAAAAAATAAATACATAAAAAGGAGTAGCAAAACTACAATGAGATACTACCACACACTTATTAGAGGGACCCAGATCTGGAACACTAATACCATCAAATGCTGGTTCTATTGTCAAGTTTCGTTTTGTTTTTAAAGATTTATTTATTTATTTATACAAGTACTGGGTACAGTCAGAAGTACAGGAGGGTGAGAGAATTCGCCAGAGCCAGAGCATGGAGCAGAACAGGCAGACTGACGAAATACACTGCTGAGGGGAGCAGCGGGCGCAGCAGGAAAGGTCTGCGCGCCATGTGGGACCCTTGCTGGGGGCTGGGGATCTAACCGGCGCTGCAGAGGCTGCGGGCAGCTTTGCAGCCCAGCACTCAACCGCTGTGCCACCAGGGAGGCCCTCTATTGTCAAGTTTTAAGTTTGTTTTCTTATTGCACATTTAAGTCTAGTTTAATTGTACAATAGTAAGAGAATGTAGACAGTACAAATTTGCTTGTTGCTTGTGAGAAATTTTAAACATTAATTAGTTCAATTTTAATTTGATTGTTATTTTGGCTCAATTGATTTTGTCCTCTTTTTCAGGATTGCAAATAGCTTTGGAGTTCAATTCTCTGTTCTCTGTCTCAATTATCCTTTTCCAAATCATTTATCTCTTTCTTACTTTCTTCTGGGAGTGCTTCTCAATTTGGAATTCTGTATCACCATCTCTACTTTATATGATTACTACAATGGATTTTAATTCTGTCACTGGGTTTCTTGTTGAAGTATTTTATTTTATCCATTTCCCTTTTCCTCTCATTCTCTGATTTTCCAGTTAACTTTAAGTTCTCTTCTGGCCTCAAATTACTGTTTAATGAAGAGTCATTTTCTGGTATTGCTGGGGTATACTAATTTTCTGATACATTTTCTCATGATGCTGGGGTATTTTTTTCAAGGATCTGTGCTAATTGGAGGGCATCAGGTTACATTACTTTTCACTTGTTAGTGTTTGTTTTTAGGTCTTAGGTTACATTTTCCCTTAGTCATTCTTGAATTAGAAGAGAACTATTCTGATTTATTATTCGTTGAGAGTAAGGTATGTACTTTGCCTCACTCCCTAGTAAACAGCATGGGTTGTGGAAATTCTCAGATCACCTGCCAGAGGAGAGGTCCCTGTATCTTCTACTGTGTGCTTAGCTTAAAGTCAGGCTGGTTACTGAGATGGCTCCCACTCGTCATACAATATCTGATTTTCTGATGTTCTAAATCAGTGGAATAAATTGGAAACTGTGATTCTGAGCAGTTTCTGACATCAAGGTTTTCCTATCTTCAATCCCAAATGAATGATGTTTATTGTACTCATGAGTATTAAATACACTAAGTGAACTGTCTCCATCATTGCATTCTTGTACTTCTTCTAGAACTAATAAGTAAGCCAGGAAAAGCACAACTACTTCAAATTCTAACTAAGTAGCACTAAATTTAGAAGAAAGATATCAACATTTCTTTCTGACACAAACAGGACCTAGGTAAATGCACTTTAGGTAATCTTTCCTGCACTGAAGTATAACATCCCTAAATTACTTAACTTCTAAATATACAAACTGCTGAGAATCTGAGGAACAACCTAACATTTCTGAATCATAGAAGGAGGCAAAAATTCAAGAATTTTTTTTACTTTGTTTCAAAAGTACAACATTCATGAAAGAAACATTTGCAGACCTATACATACCTATGCAGGGTTTCAGGCGAGAATTCCAGTAACAGTCCATAGACCATAGATTTCTATATTGAGAAGTTACAACTCCAGGTAATAAACATACACAAAATGTGTTCTAGCTTCCTACTGTGACAGATGTACTCGATTAATAACCTGGAAGACCAGGTTTGACTTAGGATTCTGAGACTCTTTGGTGTTTGCTAGCACAGGGGGCAATCAAGGGAGTCAGCCCCAACCTCTTCCTTCACCAGGTTCTGTCTTGAACTCTGAGACCTATCAGGAATGGGTGTGGACTCCTCTGCTTCTAAGCCCAAACTGCTTACAATGTCCCCCACATTCCAAGCACAACTCCCTTGTTCATGCCTGGAGAAAGGCCAGTACAGATCCTGGAAGCAGTTTGGGGCTATTCAGGCAGGAAAATTTGTGGCCCCTTGTATGTAAAGAGGAGGCCAGGCTTAACAATGAGCATGTCCCTTCAGTCCCACAGATTCCTTGCACCAAGAGGCCAGAAAAGAATCAGAGTCAGATCAAAAACAGATTTAATTTTTAAAAATCCACTGTAGGGTAAATAGTTTTCAGACTTTTCTGCCTTCCCACCATTAGGATTGCCCTGCCTGATGGGGCACCTGCAGATGTTACATTGTTGTGTTGTTTACTTCTGTGGACCATGGGAGGAGTATTGAAACAGTCTCCAGGAGAAGAAGCAGAAGAAGCAGGAGAAGCAGCAGGAGAGAGGCAGGAGAGAGAAGCCCAGAGCGATGACATGGGGGGCGGGGGGGTGGTTTGGAGGCTTACTGGCCTCCTGCCCCCCTCCCCCGCCTGCCATGTACCTGGTTGCTGTTCTACATGTAAAAGCTCAAT